GCTTTCCATTCACCTCCCACTCACTTCCCATCTCTCTCTCTCTCTCTCTCTCTCTCTCCATCGCCATCCCGAGTGTTCAGCTAAGGCTGAAGGCGACAAAGGATTTCGTGGCGCCAGTCCCCTCAACAAATCCACCCATCACATGTTCAGACCCACACATCATGATCTCAATCTCTAGATATTCGTATGGCTCCCCAACCTTCGATGATCAAATTCCCAGAACAGGTACAGTATCCATTTTGGGTTTCCATGCCATGGTCACCATAATAACCAAGTCCCCCCCGACAGCTGCCTTCAATGAGAAGGGCGGTAGGTAGTAGTCATCCTTCTGACCGGTCATGGCTTCCCAGTCGGACGGGCCCAACTTAGGACGCTTTCACGGCCACGCTGCGGGGCGCTGCATGAGGTGGTGACATGTCTTTCTGAGAAAATGGAAGTCATCGCAAGTCTGTTAAACCGAGAATCCAATGATGAAATTTCAATGTGAAATTCACTGAATCCATCTTACTCTGGCGTGATTCTGAATGACATCACAGGCATTCTGCAGCATTTGCACCTTGGAAATGGTTGGGAGGTAGTCACAGCCGGCCAGAATACAGAAGTCCACCTCAAATTGCTGCTGGAATTGGTTACCTTGCGACATCTTGTGACATCTTGTGACATCTTGTGACATCTTGTGACCTTTCATGGCAACCAGTTGCCGTACAGGGAAAAATCTGGAGGAATCCACGTGAATTAACATTTCTATACATTTCTGTGATTGGCGGGTCATGAAATGCCGCGGAGTTCTGTTTAGAGAGGCTGCAAAACATAGCAAACTGCTGATCCTTGCTGACAGAACTGCATCCTTCCATTCCTATGGCCTTTTTATCTTCAAAAATTTTATTTACTTGGAACTTGAAAGCAAAATTTATGTTCAAATCTCAATTTTGGATGGTTGCACTGTTAAGCAGCAAGTTTTTGAGGCCTGGTCGTATGTTTCATTTGAATCCAACGGTTCATGGTTAGTTAAATCCTTCCGTTTCGTGGGGCCCGACAAACTGGGCCCAGCGACAAACTCCAGCTGCGAGAAGTGAAGCTGCGCCAGGATCTCAGGAAGCCGGATCTCCTTCGAAGATGGATCCGGAGGCGCACAGGCTGCGATTTAAGCAATGGATTAACGATTGGTTCACCATCAACACTAGGGATTAACCATTGGTTCAATCATTCATTAAATCGTTGATTATAGCATATTATAGCCATTGGTGAATGAAATTTAATCGGGGATTCATGGGCATAATGTTTAATTTAATCCTATTAATGCCATTGAACCAACAATAGGGATTTATATATATAACAAAATTTAGTGAACAATGGAGGTATAAATTATAAATAAAGGTCCGGTAGTGCCCACTGAGATCCGGAACTCGCAGTTGCCAGAGGAGGATAGAGGAGAAGAAGGAGAAGAAGAAAGCAACTCTGATAAAATCTAGAGACCCTCACCTGGCAGGTGAGGAAAAAATCGAATCGGCAGTGAAAATCCGCCCACATAGCCCACCTGCACCAGGGGAAGTTGCGGTGAAGCGCTACCATGGTGGAGATTCCTCAGCAGCTTTGGAGCCCCAAAGACCAAAGCGTCAAAGTCCTGCCGCCATGACACCAAGATGCACCAAGACTCTGGGCCCTGGGGCCCCTCAAAACCAAAAAGGAACCCAAACAATAGTCTAACAAATCTAACAATGGGGCCATTGGAAGAGTATGACTGAATTAGCCCAGTGCGCATACATATTCCACGCACATACACACTTGAACACACACAAAATCACAACTGTATGGACATCCGAAGTTGGCCCTTTCGCTATTTGGCACACCCTCCACTGCAGAGCGACTTTGCGCCAACCTCGCTACACATATGCAGACTAATTGAAAACTGATCTGCAATTGCTGAGCTGTCACCACCAGCGTCTGGATCGCCCCAAGTCAGAACCGATCCGTCCGCCAGGATCGCAGCAAACGTTCCTCAAGTTGCTTGAATCTGCTGGGCACCTTTCAGCTAATCTTGGACTCCAGACTGCCAGAGGTGTCACCGCCACGTGGATTGCCCCAAGTCACAACCGATCCATCCTGAAAGATCGCAGCAAATGCGCTCAAAGTTGATTGGCTATCACCGCCATGATCTCGGGAGCCCCATGATGCCCCATGTAGCAACCCGGTCACCTCCAAAGCAGGCCTGTTGTGCTGCTGCCAGCTTTGCCTCTATGGCATTCTATGGCAATAAGTGTCAGATGGTCTCCATCTTTTAGTCCGGCAGCCTGAGACGCCGCAGGATCCACCACAGCATGGTCTCCGCCCAGGAGCTTCAAGACGCCATGATGAAATGACTTCTGCGCCAGGACCCGCAAATCCCCTACGGAAGCTCAAATGGCTCTTTGACCACTTAGCAAAGCTACACTGACATGAAACATTTATCATGAGACAAAGCCATTCAAAATTTGAAAGATATTTGTTCCTCGCATCGATCTTGAGCCAAACTGCTTGAGCATGACCTATGCTATAGAACCCAAATGACCCTTACTATGTTGGATCCTTAAATCCTCATTTGTGGCTCAGTGTTCCAAATAAGAGTATTCTAATTATATACTTAAAAACTACACATAAGAATATCATGGTTGAAATCTAATCATATACATACAGTACATACATACATGCATATGTGTATAATCATCATATAATATATAATTACTATATAATTATACACATATTATGCACATATCTACTAGTACCATGATTATCCATGATTTATTGTGCACATGTTATGCATCCCCATCCCTTCACATCCCTTCACGTCCCTTCCGCCTCGGTGGCTGCCGCCTTGGCCTGGCCACTCAGCGCCAGTTGGGCACACAGCCGTTCCGCCTCCCCTGGCGCTTGCAGCGCCGGGAGACCCATCGTACCTGGGCCGCCAGGGATCGCCAGGGGCCGGAGCTGCCACGGCAGGCGTCAATTGATTGGGTTAATCGGTTAATGTGAGGAAAATCTACGGAGAAGTGGAACCCTCGGATTCTTTTATGAGTTGTTCCATTCAAACTTAGGTTGACTTGGTCATGTTGGGTAATTGTATGTAGTTGTATGATGGTAAGCACCCTATCAGTGGCACCAACTTGTGAGCCACACCATGGCAATCCAAAGAAATATACGTGTATTATACATATCTGTGTGTGTGCATTTGGACACAAGATGATTGCTGGGTCTCATATTTGGATCGCTGAGCATTTGCAAAAGTCTATGGCCTACAGCATTATATAAGGTAGATTTGTGGGTTGAAATTATTGGGGCGATCGGTACTCAATTTCTACCACACGAAAATCCTCGTTGGATCATTACTTTCTCAAGACTGGAACATCCCCAGATGCCATGTTAGTTGCCATCTAATTTCCCTTGTTTTCCAGGCAGTTTACTGGTTTCACTGTTTTTGTTTGGGATATTTGATGGATCCAACCTCCAAAAGCCTCACACTTCAGGCCGCACCCTAGGACCCTAGGATCCCAGACGTAGCAACTCCATGGCTTCGTCGTTGTGCCTCTGAGTGGCCTTCACCAACCTTCCGGTGCAATCCAAACCTTCAGTCACTGAAGTTAAGGGGTATAGTTTCACTGGATTAAGATGATTAAGACTGGTATTAAATTGTTTCAATTCATGTCAATTCCATTCCATCATTGAGGTTCATTTCACTGTCTGTTGTCGGATTCTTTAAGTTTGAAAACAACTTCCAAAATCAGTGGTTCTTTTTTTAAGAATCATCTGTGCTTGCCGCCTGTCCTCTTTTTTAAACATGGCAACGACAAATCAGCTGACATGGATTCCACAAACATCGACAAGTCATCGGCAATTTCTTGTGCCACAGTTCGGATCACCGGCACCAGCTGCAACCACTTTGGGCTGAGCTAAGGATGCTGCCGCGAGCCTCCCTGGCATATGCTGCTGATGTTCTGAGATTCGATGATGTTTTCCTCGATCTCAACAGCGGAAGGCACAAGGTAACGACAGGCCGGGGAGTTTTAAAATAGCTTAAGAATCCTGAAGATGATGTCTGGATCTGAGATGTATTTAATGACAAGAGACCCCGAACTGAACCCTTCAGAATTGTAGGGCCAATGAATGAAAAAGGCTGAAAAAGGCTGTTCTTGATACAAACAAATTGAACACCTGTTTTTGTGTTTCATACTCACAAATAGATGCATGTACTTTGCACGAGTGCCGTTTTTGCTTCTCACCCTTGAAGGAATATTATTAATTGCCTCCGATGCCTGCATGATGCCTTTACGAGTCCTTTACACAGTCTTTCTGGCAAATGTTGCAAGACATTGGTGGATTTCGCGCAAGCACCTGCCAAAGGGCATACAAAAACTGATCACCAAAAACCTATCTATGATAATCATTGATAATCTATCTATTGTATTATATATAATTATGAATATGTTTTAATTTATCTATCTATTTATTTTTTTAATAATTAATTAATGCTTTTAAATTTATATAAAATAATTTAAAATATAATTGTATTTCTATGGTTTGCTGCAGCAAAAATACTGCTTCGCTGCGGCTAAGGTAAACAGCCGGATTCCAAGAACATAGGTATTGTTTTGGGACAATGCGGGCTCGCTCCTGGATAATTGATGATAATTGCATAGGGGTTCCCTACGGGGTTCCCTACGGGGTTCCCTACGGGGTTCCCTACGGGTAAAATAGAGGTATAAGATGGTATAAGATCAGCGAAACCCGTGTTTGAAACCCGTGTTTTACCAAATGCAGAATTATTCTTACAACGCGGTTTGAAGTTTGAAACATCGGTGAGCTAATGCGCCAAAAGGCCAGAAGGCGTCTCGCTATGTCAGAATGTGGAGACCATGGATCACGCCAGGCACGATCACAGCAAAAAAAACATGAACTAAACTGGAAGACTCCTAAAAGAGTTCTTTTTCAAATCATCTGGTTTTGCCGTGCCCACAATTTGTTATTTTTCTTCCCCTTTCCCCTTACCAATCCATCGTGCCCTTGCGAGGTCGGGCGCGAGTGAGATTGAGGGTTGTTTCATAACCAGTTTTCGATTTTGGCCTGCAACACCTTTCCCTGTCGCGTCTGTCACCAGAACTGCATCATGTACTCCGAAAACTACCTCTTGTCTTATGTATGCCGCTTGCAAGTGGGTCCTAGCCTTGCAATAATTCATGCTAACGTGTTGAAATTTGCACAAAAAATAAATTATATAATATATAAATATAATGTATAAGCCAAGAAAACAATCTCTGACATTTACCGAGGACGGAGATATAGACATAGTTCTCAAACTCAGCTGTCACCCATGCATGCTCCTCAAGAAACTGTTTGCCCAGTTTCCTCCACCATAAGTTTCAGAACATCATAATCATCTTTCACCTGCTCATGGCTGTTCATTTACTGGTGCTGGGCCAACTGACATCAACTGCGGGACGGGATCTGACGATATTCTGACCACAGGATATTGCAGTTGGTACCATCTGCAAAATGGCACGAAAACCGAAGTCGACCAAAATTCTGCATGACTGCTCAAGTGGCGAGCAAGACCACCGCCTTGCGCTGAATGTTCCGCAAAGCTTGTGCAGAGAGCCCAGTTTGAAGATCCTGATATGATACCTTTGTTGCAGAAAGAGGGATAAAAGGTTAGGTGTTGCGGGAACCAAGCCCATGGGGTTTGGCTATCGTCAGTTTCCAACTGTGTGCGCATAGATTCTTTAAAAAAAAAACGTAGAAAAAACATATTATATACTTCATAATTATATAAATACACGCACAACTACTGAGCCAAATACCAGCCGTCTTGTGGTGCAAAATTGCAAAGCACTTCTATTCTTGCGAACAGCACTTGTGATATGCCTCAAAGTCTTTCGGGATGATTGTTGGAACCTTCATTTTTGGTGACCTTTATAGTACTTTGTGGTTTTCTGCTAATTATTTGGCGATCTAATAAGTAGATGGCTCTGGCATCTCTGGGTTTGCGAACCCAGAGACATCCTTGATGACCCTCTGCAGTGAACCTGCTGTCCCCCAAAACTGTTTTTCGTAACTTTTTACACAAGCCATCAAAAAAATAGAAAAACCTTAAAGAAACCCTAAATTAACCCCAAAGAAACCCTAAATGAACCCTAAAGAAACCCTAGCTCGAGGATGTATGTAGTGGAATACTGCCTGTGGGGCGTAGCGCACGTGCTGCGGGTATTCTTTGCGAAATGAACAAACTTACAGTAGTTTTTGGGAAAAAAAGAAGCTTCTGAGGCCCCCTACTTTACGCACATCAAATCGGTCGCTATGTGGGTTTGTTTAGGATGCAATACTCCGACAGGTTCCTGCCTAACTATCAGGATGGAGAACTTACCTGGCCTGAAGTGGCTTGATGGATCTCGGACTGTTGCTTTGAAGGGGTGAATTCCACTATTGAAATGCAAAGATCAAGTACGATAAAGTATATGGTAACCGTCATGGAAAATGGGGCACCCGTAATGCCACGATAACATACCTCAGTGTACTTTATTTCAAGAATCACATAGTTTCATATGACGCGAAGGTGCATCAGTTTAAAATTCCCCGGGTGATTGTTTACCCTTTGTACCCCAAAAACTTTGAGGGGCATCAGTTTTTTTTTTATCCCCTTGCTGGTCAAAGCCAAAAGCAAAAAGTGAAGATTCCCCGGGCTTGAACAGGGTCACATTGGCTTTTATATTGCACGGCGTATTTCCCCATAATTCACCGCAACCCGCAATTGATCGCGATGCGCCAACCAAGAGGCCGGATTTTGATGCACTCGCTTGATTGGTGATACGCCCAACAAAGATTCATCAGGGACACCTGGCCGCAAGTGCAGGACCCAACAGCTGCACCCAACAGCTTCAAAATATACTGATTTGATCTGATTTGGTTGGTGATTTAATCAATTCCTTGCACTTGACTTGGGCTTTGATATGCTTTCCACATTGTTTTTGCACACTCCCATAATTAAAAAATGAGGTATCTTGCTACAATTTTAACGGACTGAAATTGAAATGTAAACAACCACTGCCCATATTTTGGTAGGTGGCCGCACCGAAGTGGCTTGCTTTGAGCTGGAATTTGCGTAGGGGTCTCTGCCAGCAAATTTCAGGATCCTACTTGGACCATGCAGATTTGTATCTTCAGAATCGTCACATCCAAGCGGCCAATGGCCCGGAGCATTGCAAAGGCATCAGTTTCCAGGTTGCAGGTTAGACCCGCGAAAAGCAAGTGACGCAACATGATCCTTGGTTTGCGATGGAGTGCGTTGGCTTGCATCGGCGATCATGCCACCAACTATAATTGTCCTTGTTTCCGGGGAGGGTCAGAGTTTTTAAGTATGTACCTACTGTGAGCTGATGCAATATCAACCATCTTCGCCGCCAAAAAATTAAGCCCAAAAGATGTGAAACATGTGCGGCTGGTGTGGGCCAGGACTCTTGCCATAGGGGAAGTAGGTGGCATATCCACGATACAAATGATGAATGGTGGAATGCGCCATGTCTGCCGCATTTCGGAGCTGGGGATCGGGGCTGCTGAAGGCTTCTGCCAGCTGGTTAGGTGTTTGGAACATCCTCGGGCCGCAGGTGGCTGAAACAACTGGCACCATCAGGGGGAAGAGGACTAGAGATTTGTCATGCGCACATGCCAATACTAGATAATGATAGTGGGTCTAAACATGTCTAAACTCTCTTGGATCACCCAACCTGGTGAATGAGCAAACCATGCTGCTAGAATCGGTGTCGGGATGGGAACCAATGCTATCATGCTGGTAGTTCCACCGCCCTCTCCAGGAAATGTTGCTTGAGGCGAGCCTTGAGTGCTTTCAACTTGACCAGCCAAGGTTCTGGAAGACCTTTTCCTCGGGTAGCGGGACTACCCGGAGAGAAATCATACACAAAACTGACCTCTGAGGACGAGCAGCTGCCTTTTCACATCAGTGATGCAGCTCCCATGCCGGAAGTATCTGGAAGTCAGAGCAACAAGATAAAATGAAGAAGAGGTAACAAGAGATCCAAAATGATCCAAAGTTGCAACAATCAGCAAAACCAGCTGCACCCCCTTCTGGACTAGCCATGGCATCCCATGGCTACCCTTTAAATCCATTGGCTCAAAGCTTAAGGCGCCAAGTTTCTTCCGCTTTGGTCCAGTTGCTGCAATGCGAGGGACAGCCCTGCCGCCAACGACTGAGGAATCCTGAAATCCATCGCTCCTGAGACTGGAGGTAAATCACTTCGAAAGGAATGCGAAAGCGATTCGTGGGCTCAAAAGTGCAAAGTACCCCGAGGAAATGGCCAATGTCCCAGAATCGAAGGGAACCCCCCCCACATATTTGGATGGCAAAGCGATAGTTTCTGGCTTTGTTCCCTCAAATCAGTACATTCACAACGGAAACTTTCAATATGTAAAATTATTGCTACAGTTTAAAGTTTAAAGGTACCCAAAGAAAATGTGTTTGCCTTCGTGCTGCTTTGGTGCCACAGGATCTCGTACCATCGTCAAATAGCAGGTGCCTTTTGAACGAGTTGGAAATTCCTGAGTTTTGGTCTCACCAAACTTTGAACAGCCAGGCAAGGGGCCTCTAAGTTTAGCCCTGTCTTTGGGGATAGGCGTTGCAGCACCTTATCGACAGGAAGCCTCAAGAAATCTCAAGAAGCGACATTCCCACATATTTCCCTGGCAAAGCGTTTGCCCCCAAATCAGCAACTGGCTTTTGTTTCAACATGTGCAACCGCTCCGTTGAATATTTATAATATTTGAAACAAAATATGCCTCAAAGAAAGCAAGCTGTTGTGACTTCAGAGAGGAGGCTTGGAAAAATTGTGTTAATTGGCTTCAGTGCTAACGCTGATGGCTGTTTCAGGGTGCACCGTTCCGTGGATCAGCAATGAGGCTCCACGAGCAGCATGGAAAAAAATGTCCCGAACTAAAACAATTGAATCAAAAATGCCAACAACAAACAATCCGAAGTCATTTGTTATGCCAAGCGTCGACTTGCATATCAACATGTTCAAAGGATCCCTTCATGAGTAAGCATTGGAGATCATTATTTTCCAGCCATTCCTCCAGGGCCGTGCCCCCATTCTTCGCCACGTGGATAAAGCGGAAGACGCGACATGCCTTCAGGTCCCGGCTCGTCACCTGGAGTAGCTGGAAGCTCCCAAGCGAAGGGAAACTCGCTTGGGAAATAGGAACCAAATTTTCAAGATCTTCCAAGTGGCAAGCCAGCACGACAACTCACTAAATTGTTTTTGTTTGTTTTTTTGGGGCTGTTAAGTTTTGGTGTGAGACGTGAAACAATGGCTGGCGTTGAACAGACCAAGTGTAAGCCTACTTCAGAGGCTGGTATCTGCTGGAAAGTGCTGTGGCAAGTCACAGGTAACAAAGATTTGTACATCTCGCCGCCTTGGATTGGCACATACCATGGATCCATGTCTTGAGCAAGTGCAGGGAAGGGATGCTGACAGGTGAAAGGAGACAAGAGAATCCAAGGGGACAATTAACGTCAACCATGTGACATGTGGGCTAATAAACTCTAGGCTGTTCATTCAAATAGCTAGTACCAGCGTCGCTGTCTATTCGCACATTATCACTTCTAGGGCTACCTCCTCAATGAACTAACCAAGCAAGGTTTATGAATTCCTGCCGGGATTGACATACATTACACTTACTTTTGAAGTCTTTTGAGGATGATGGAGACGGTGAAAGTGGTCCTGATGGATGATATTGATGGTGATGCTGGTCCTAGCTGTTGCCATGATAACCACTGGAATTTTGGGACGGCAAATAATTACCCATAATTTAATGTTCCCATGTTCGGATAGCCCCACAGAAAAGACCAAGTCAGAAAAGAAAGACCTTGGGTGTATTTCTACTCATGTAATATCATGGGTGCATACGTGTTCTGCACATAACACCATCCAACTCCACATGCATATAATAGATCATATCATCATAAACATATGTGTATACGTATAGGATCATATAGGTAAATAGAAGCAGAAGCCAGCCTCATCCGCAGTTGCATGATCGAGCTGCATTTCATCTCACACCCGTCAATGTCTGAAGAGTCTCAAGTCTTGCACTTCAAGATGGACCGTAAGTATCCACACAATCACACTTAATGTCTTACAATATGTATTTTTCTTCCGCTGTACGTGCACATACATACATACATACATACATACATACATACATACATACATACATACATACATACATACATACATACATACATACATACATACATACATACATACATACATACATACATACATACATACATACATACATACATTACATACATACATACATACATTACATACATACCATACATACCATACATACCATACATACCATACATACCATACATACCCATACCATACATACCATACATACCATACATACCATACATACCATACATACCATACATACCATACATACCATACATACATACATACATTACATATACATACATACCATACATACATACATACCATACATACCATACCATACATACATACCATACATACCATACCATAACATACCATACCATACCATACCATACCATACCATACATACATACATACATTACATTACATTACATTACATACATACACACACATACATACATTACATTACCTTACATTACATTACATTACATTGAATTACATACCATACATACATTACATTACATTACATTACGTTACATTATATACATTACATTACATTACATTACATTGAATTACATTACATTGAATCCGCCCACACCGCTTTGGCGGTGAAGGCGTGCTTATTGGGGGGCAACAGCAACACTAAATGCTCAATGACATTTGTTAATATAGCAGTCGCTATATCAGCTTTAGCTGGGGGGGGGGGCAAAAACGGTTTCGCACCGAGACCAGACCCCAAAAACGGTTTCGCACCGAGACCAGAATTCGGTGGTGTTTTCGACATTTTTCGAGGATTTTTGGGTGTCTGAGCCCAAGAGGGTATTGAAATGGAATTTTGGGTCATTTTGGTAGCTTTCCGGCAATGGAAAAACGGTCAAAAATGAAAAAAACATTGTACATAGCAAGATTTTGCAGGGTTTTTGGATGCCAGAGCATTGAAAACACTGCAAAAACAAGTGTTTTGGACTGACGTTATAGCAAAAAACGTGTAAATTACCGTATGTTTGACTGGAAACATTACAAAACACTGTCAAAAGCAATGTTTTGGAAGGATTTACTGCCTTTATGGCAAAAAACGTGTAAATTACCGTCTGTTTGACTGGAAACATTGGAAAAACACTGTCAAACACAATGTTTTGCAAGGATTTCTTATATATATGTTGGACTTGGCTACAGGCATTGGAACATGGAAAAATTGAAGAAAACACTGTAAATAGCGGTATTTTCAACGGTTGGGGAGATAAGGGAATTGGAAGCATTGTCGAACATGATGTCTTCGACCGGTTTTATGGCGACAAAAGTGTAAAGTACCGTGCTTTGAAGGAAACCATTGCAAAAACATGGAAACACATTCAAAGAACACGGGATTTGGGAGACTATCTAGGCGTCGTTGTCTAGCTATTTGAAATTCCGCAGCGTGGAAAGCCTCCAAGGGAGGAAAAGTGAAAATTCCATAGCTTGGGAAGCTGTCACGGCGGGGAAAAGTGAAAATTCCCTAGCTTGGGAAGCCCCCACGGGGGGGAAAAGTGAAAATTCCCTAGCTTGGGGAGCCCCCACGGGGGGGAAAAGTGAAAATTCCCTAGCTTGGGAAGCCCCCACGGGGGGAAAATTCCCTAGCTTGGGGAGCCCCCACGGGGGGGAAAAGTGAAAATTCCCTAGCTTGGGGAGCCCCCACGGGGGGGAAAAGTGAAAATTCCCTAGCTTGGGGAGGGGGAAAAGTGAAAATTCCCTAGCTTGGGGAGCCCCCACGCGGGGGGGGAAGTGAAAATTCTTAGCTTGGGGAGCCCCCACGGGGGAAAACCACCCTTAGCCCCTCTCATGGACCGAAATAAACCTGCGGTGTGGGCGGCCACCCCACGCGAAGCGGGGTGAATTACATACCATACATATATTACATTATATTACATTATATTACATTATATTACATTACATTACATACATACATAATCATACATACTAGCACCGTACTTAAGTCACATCAGGCGGGAAAAGTCACATCATCCCCATGGCACGGCGGCGATACGGAGAAGTCACATCAGGTAGTGGAAAGTCACATCAGGGAAGAAGAATCACCATGGCACAGCCTGTTTCATCTATAATTGGAGATGTAGTTAAAAGTAGCCGAAGCATTGCGCACAGCGATGATTTTGAAGGGCGCAAGTTGGTACAAACAAATTTTCGGCAGCTAATCCTATTGGATTTGAATATATTATATTGATGTCCTGCGTCGCGTGACCAAATCAAACCCCTATTGGTACAGCCTCAAATTTCTTGCAATGCAAGTGGGTTAGCTGTAGCAAATCCTATTGGCAGGGCTATGATCTAGGATGATATAAGGATATGGGGCCCCTTGTTTTCCGCAACCAAATCTATGGCTGGCGCAACGTGCATCAATGTCATGGACAGTTCTCAAGAAGTTTGTTGTCCTATCCACCCAGGAATTACGAATTGGAAAAAAACCTTCATTCTATTGCGGGCGGAAAGCGTGGCAGGTTTTGTCGGTGCTCCGTCTGCGCCGTCTGTTGTGTCTGTTCCGTCTCGCGCCGTCTTGCCGTCTGCGCCGTCTTGCGAGATGGTGCGAGATGGCGCAGATGGTGAGCACAGCGACACAACCGCGCTATGCGACCGCAATGTTTCATTCCAACCAGCCAGAAACATTCCCTCTCTCTGCTGGTGTCTCCCGACCATACCTCCCGTCAGCGCCAAACAAGGCGACCGAGACTGTTATTTTCTGTTTCGGCAAAATGTTTGCACGAGTGGCAGCAACAGCAGGAGGAAGCAGCAACAGCACCAGGAGGAAGCAGCAGCAGGAGGAAGCAACAGCAGCAGGAGGCAGCAGAAGCAGCAGCAGCTGCAGCAGCAGCAGGAAGCAACAGGAGAAAGCAGCAGCAGCAGCAGCAGGCGGAAGCAGCAGCAGCAGCAGGAGGAGGCAGCAGCAGCAGCAGCAGGAGGAAGCAGTAGCAGGAGGCAGCAGCAGCAGCAGCAGGAAGCAGCAGCAGGAGGAGGAAGCAGGAGGAGGAAGCAGCAGGCGGAAGCAGCAGCAGCAACAGAAGGAAGCAGCAGCAGGAGGAGGAAGCAGCAGCAGCAGCAGGCGGAAGCAGCAGCAGCAGCAAGAGGCAGCAGCAGGAGGCAGCAGCACAAAGCAGCAGAGGAGGCAGCAGCAGGCAAGCAGCAGCAGGCAAGAAGCAGCAGGCAACCAGCAGCAGGGAAGCAGCAGCAGGCAAGAAGCAGCAGGCAACCAGCAGCAGGGAACAGCATGCAACAGCATGCAACAGCATGCAGCAGGCAAGCAGCAGCAGGCAAGCAGCATGCAAGCAGCAGCAGGCAAGCAGCAGCAAGCAGCAGCAAGCAGCAGCAAGCAGCAGCAAGCAGCAAGCAGCAGCAAGCAGCAAGCAGCAGCAGCAAGCAGCAGCAGCAGCAGCAGCAAGCAGCAAGCAGCATGCAGCAGCAGCAGCAGGCAAGCAGCAGCAGGCAAGCAAGCAGCAGGCAAGCAAGCAGCAGGCAAGCAAGCAGGCAAGCAAGCAGGCAAGCAAGCAGGCAAGCAAGCAGGCAAGCAAGCAGGCAAGCAAGCAGGCAAGCAAGCAGGCAAGCAGCGGGCAAGAAAGCAAGCAAGAAAGCAAGAAAGCAAGAAAGCAAGAAAGCAGCAGGCAAGAAAGCAGCAGGCAAGAAGCAGCAGCAAGCAAGCAGCAAGCAAGCAGCAAGCAAGCAGCAAGCAAGCAGCAGGCAAGCAGCAAGCAAGCAAGCAGGCAGGCAGGCAGGCAAGCAATCAAGCACGCAAGCACACAAGCACGCAAGTACGCAAGCACGCAAGCACGCAAGCACGCACGCACGCAGGCACGCAGGTAGGCAGGCAGGCAGGCAAGCAAGCAAGCAAGCAAGCAAGAGCAGCAAGCAAGAGCAGCAAGCAGAACGCAGAAAGCAGCAAGCAGCAAGCAGCAAGCAGCAAGCAGGAAGCAGCAAGCAGCAAGCAGCAAGCAGCAGCAAGCAGCAGCAAGCAGCAGCAAGCAGCAAGCAGCAGCAAGCAGCAAGCAGCAGCAGCAAGCAGCAAGCAGCAGCAAGCAGCAGCAAGCAGCAGCAAGCAGCAGCAAGCAGCAGCAAGCAGCAGCAAGCAGCAGCAGCAGCAGCAAGCCAGCAAGCCAGCAAGCCAGCAAGCCAGCAAGCCAGCCAGCCAGCCAGCCAGCCCAGCCAGCAAGCAAGCAAGCAAGCAAGCAAGCAGCAAGCAGCAAGCAGCAAGCAGCAAGCAGCAAGCAGCAAGCAGAAGCAAGCAGCAGCAAGCAGCAGCAAGCAGGAGCAGGCAGCAGCAAACAGCAGCAAGCAGCAGCAAGGAGCAGCAAGCAGCAGCAAGGAGCAGCAAGGAGCAGCAACAACGGGCAAGCAGTAGGTGAGCAGCAGGTGAGCAGCAGCAGGTAAGCAGCAACAAGTAGCAGCAAGCAGCAGTATGGAGCAGAAGCAGCAGGCAAGCAGCAGGCAAGCAGCAGGCAAGCAGCAGGTGAGCAGCAGGTGAGCAGCAACAGGTAAGCAGCAGCAAGCAGCAGCAAGGAGCAGCAACAACGGGCAAGCAGTAGGTGAGCAGCAGGTGAGCAGCAACAGGTAAGCAGCAGCAAGCAGCAGCAAGCAGCAGCAAGTAGCAGGCAAGCAGCAAGGAAGCAGCAGGCAAGCAGCAGGCAAGCAGCAGGCAAGCAGCAGGCAAGCAGCAACCAGCGTTTGCCCCCTTGAAAGAATGATCAAATATTTTTTAAATCAACGCAATAAAAAAACATTGAACTTTTTCCAGCCGCACGGCCCCAAAACAATGAAATTGTTCAATTACTAAAAGTTGCGGTGATGCCAAACTTGAACTTTTTCCAGGCGCACGGCCTCCCGATACGACTTTTACAAGCTGATACGACTTAACGCTAGCGTTAGTACATAAATCCAGGATGATCCAGGACAGAAGTTCCCTGCCGCCCAGCAACATCTTGCGGTGAATGGCACCCTCCTAACCAGGGGCAAGTGCTTTCCGCAACCACGTCCCCCAAATCTCATTTCCTCTTTAGGCATGCTTTATATACCATCTTTGAAACAACAGTTATCAACAATGATGTTCACTTAATTTCATTTATATATTATATTATTATACTATTCATTTATGCATTCATTTATTTATATTCAATTACAAATATATATATATACCACAAAAATCCACAAAACGATTTCCACAAGTCCTGTCGTGTGTCATTGAATAGTTCTCCCTCTCTTTGGGGAGTTTCTGCTCCACTCGGTGCAACTGGCGCTGTAGGTCGCTGACCTCAGCCCATGATCAGGGCCATTTTCGGACAGTGAACCAGTGGAAAAACAAGTTGATCCTATGGAACAAATACGGCAAAAAGGGGTGGAAAAAAAAACAAACGAACCAAACAAAGGATGTACAGTATTATACAGTTATAGATGAGATTCATGATATACACTGTACACCAAAATCACATGGATCGAGGATGATCGAGGTGAATCACGGTGGGCGCATGTGGGCGCCATACCGGAAGCATAATCCTCACTTTGGGCGTGGACAATTGTTGTGGGACATGTAGGACGTTCCTTTTGTATCCTTTTGTCCTCAAAGGATGTCAAAGGTGAGCAAGCCCCACAAGCTCAAGCCACCGCAGTGAGTGGGAACGTTCAGAACTAGAGCTTCTAGCATCTTCTAGCCATTTAGCCCCTTGATATCCCTTTTTTAACCTTTTTTCATGATTGCTTCTATCAGCACCATCTTCTTTGGTGGAAACAGCAATCGTTGATCAGCATCCCGGCATCCCCAATCATTCCAATGATCTCGCGCCAGGCAGCATTTTGCTTCAAGGAATTCAGCTCCGCAAGCATTGCGTCAAAGTCCACGCGCCGGGGACTGTCGATCATCTGTGACTCCAGCAGCAGAAATCCCAACAGCAAAATGGTGCTGAAGAGCGCCAGCACCGCCCGTGTCCTCTGACAACCGGAAAGAGCAACACATAGCAACACATATAGAAAATCCGAGCCCCTCCCGATAGCTTATGAAATCCTATGAGCCTATAAACATCTATAAACTATAAATTGATGCATGGATATTAGATATGTATGCAATATCTGGGGGAGTTGCTAAAGTACGTCCATGGCTTGCAGTTTGCTGGAACATAAAACGTGGAATCAGCCCAAATAAGATGAAATAAGCAGTTCCACCTCCAGCATAACGGAAAACAGAAATCCTACACTCCTCCAATCCATGACAGCAGCGGAGGCGCTGCACTGCCATGGGTGACCATGTCAGCTCAAGCACAGGAAGCCATGGCGAGCGGTTCGGGTTGATCGCATTCAGCTACGGCCGTCCCGGCCACCATGGTGTTGTGATGCTGGGCTGCAAACTGAACATGACTTGAGTGTTGAACGGTTGCCATGCTTATCCAAGTGACTATGACTTACCATTGGGGCACCCCGGCAATTTGATGATTAATACTGTAACACTTGAAAGCAACCGGAAAATGTGGTCCCAACATCTCCCAAACATGTATACAGAATTATATATAGATCCCGTAAACTGATGAGATCTAGTGAAACTTCTGGTGGGCCCAGGCAAAGCTCCTTGATGGAGCTGCAGCTCAGGCTTGAGCTAGGGCATCTGGACTATTGATGGACTTTGATGAAGGAGTTGCTCGACGGCTGGGCCCTTCAACAGTTCCAAACCACCCCGAAAAAGTGCTGGAAGATTAGTTGTCCACCATGAAGGTTTTGGAGCTGAAAAACCAAATTGTCCATGGTTACATACATGATCACTGATGATAGTTATATAATGTTGGTTGACGTTTGCTGAGACATGGGTTAAAACATGTTGAAACATGTGTAGCACCCCCACAGCACTGTTGGGCTCCCACCTGGCCCCGTAGCGCTTCACGGCATCTTCATCACCCACAGCCTGAGCCTAAGGCGAAAGGTATGATGCAACATGGTTGTTGAACTTTGGAAAACAACAAACTTCTCCGACAGAAACATTGAAGAACTTGACGAAGTACACATCTATAACAAAGAGTATGTGCATAAGCTATGTATATAATTCTTTAATGTTCTTTATATGCATTACAAAGATAAGATCTTTCAAGAATGTCAAAGACATGCGGTGAACTTACGGGAAAACCTCGATGATATTTCAAGATCTCAGATCGCGAAGCGCCTCCTCGAGGAGCTCTTTGGAGCGTGCGCGATTCTTGGCCCTCTGCTGTAGCACCTCAGCTGGATGTACCCAGAAAGCCCATAGCCGCCATAGCCCATTTCAATGTTAAAAACCATCACTTTTCCATACGTTCCCTGCTAAAATGCGATGGTTATCCATTAATTATAATTATATACCTGATGAGGGAAAAAAACTGTAAATCGTTGTTTTTTGGGTATATTTAGGGGCTAGATCGGGCTATATCCGGCAGACCGGCATGATCCGGCATGCCCCGTTTCCAAAGAAACAAAAATCTCCCGAATGTACCATCTAATCAGAGGACGACAACATGATATGATGATATGATTGCAATTCTGCAATTCTGTGATACCATAAGTCTCATTCTCAATTTTGGATCCATCTTCGTAAGCAGGTGATTTTATTATAAAGGTGATTGTCCAAAAATATCCATCCCATCAATGGATCATACCCCACAAGTTTGGCCACTTTTTCGCTCCATATTCGAGGCCACAGATCCTCCTCTCCTTTCTGTGGGCCCGTATGTGGCTTGCCCTCCTCTAATTAAACAGTTTGCTGCGGAAAATCACCATTCTGATTGATCCATTTGGTATAGGCGAATAATGAACAAACAGACACACACACATATATATATATTATATTATACATACATTATATATATATATCTATCTATCTATCGATCTATCTATCTATCTATCTATCTATATCTGTGTGTGTTTGTGTGTGTCATATGGCAGTGTGTCAAAACCTTGTACCCCTGGTGAACATCAAAATAGCTGGTAAATGGATGTTCATCCCCCTAAAAATGGTATTAATAGGTATTGATCCATACCCATATATAAATGGGCCATTTTCGACTATAAATTAGGGGGGCTAGGATCCGTGGACCCCATTGCTCTCGCAGCTCTCGAGCTCCGGGCGTGGCTCTTCATCTCCGGTGCTTCGCCGTCAAAAACGAAGATGGGTTTGATGCCCAACTCCAGGAGCCTAGGAAATGTGGATCAAATGTGGATCAAGTGTGGATCAAATGTGGATGATTGATGGGGATGATTGATGGGATTTATGGAGATTAACTGGAGATTAACCATCAACTAATGGTGATGATATGGGGATAACCGACCCTCTGGTCACTGATTGGAGTCGACAATTTCACAGGAAACCATGGGCAATCATAGGAAACCAAGGTTTTGATGAATGGTTTTTGCATGTTTTTGCATGGCTCTTCAAACAAGTATGTCAATATGTGATTTCGCGCGTTTCTTTGCAGAAACAGCATGATGATGCTGCAGACTCACAGCACCTACAGCAAATCTGACACAAAGACTCTAGCAGTGACCAAACATGCATTCATTCATCCTGAAAAACTGACGCATCTGTCGCGTGTCCATCCGTGTCATCCCCCGTCTTGTCCAAGACATACCATAAGTCGATCCGTGTCGGCGGTGCCTCACACTTCGTCGGAAGAGTCCCACAATGTGACTGGTGTCCAGATCACTTCCAGGTTGTACACCCGGGGGCGTGTCCCCCATGGCCTGAGATGAATAGAGATGATGCAAAGGGCGGAAAAGGTCAAGGTTCTGACGGTTCTGAGTGGAAAATCTTACGCAAAATCCAAGTCCTCATCACTATGACACTTTAATTAAATAGTTCAATGTCTATTTAAGTCTATTTATACCATATACATCCGTATACCAAACTATACCCGTATGTATAGTCTAGTCTAGTTCTCTATACATTCCCCGGCCGTTCAAACGATTTCCTGACCTTCTCCCGTCCAAGGGGCAGTCATACACTGATAGAGGCAAGGGCTCACATCAATGGCCACCACGGCCTCCTGGTTGGATTTTGCTGGATGGATTTGGTCCCAATGCAACATGATGAGCCAGAGGAGGAGAAAAAAAAAACATATCATACGGCAGTCATTGGTGACTCAGTGACCAGTCTTGTATCTCGATATTTTGGATTGACTTCCCCCTAGTGAAACAAGCTGAAAAATATTCAAAAAGTATTTGAAACCTCCTACTTTCGATTCGTCCTGTGTTGCAGAGGCTCACTGGAAAAGCACGAGTTCAATGTTGGGGTGGGTTTCACAGGGTGGCAAACCAGGGATCCTCAAAATGCCGGTGCCAGCGAATACCAACATGAAGAATCCAACTTTCACAACCCATGGGTTGATCATCTCTGCGAGTTCTGGGGCCTTGTATTCAGAGGCACAGGAGTGATGGCTCATCGCTGATGCACAGCTGCTCTTCAGAAACTTGCCCAGTTGTTTGATGCCCATTGCTTCCCGCAGCCTCAAATCAGCTGACAAAATTTGAAGCTGGAAAGATGGTAAGAACCCTGGACGCCAACAGCATCTGTAACTCTTGCACTGACACTGAATGCCCGCCTTAGTTTCTGCCATCCTCTTCTGCGACCTACTACTGGGCTCAAAGCGCTGCAGTTAAAGACCAAGCTGAACTTGTGGCATTCTGAGTTGTGGGGAAGGCGATGCGCCCCAAACTTGAGCAAGGCTTCATTCCTTCATCGCAAATGTGCGTCACCGATAATGGACCCTACAACAATCAAAATTGTGAAGGATTATTATCAGATACTAGTAACTATCATCAATGAACTTCACTCCACCCAAATGTGGTATCAACGCCAACCAACTACAGACAGTGAACCAGAAATAACCAGCATGCGCTTACAGGGCCTATTGTGTCTGACAAGAATTCCATGGAAGATCCATGCCGTCTTCGCAGCCGCATTTGTCACGTCATTTTTAGCTGCACATGCGGCCGCTGCTTTGGTGCTGGAGTGTCTGCAGTCACAACGTCACAAATCGATGAAGAGGCGTATCTGCCATCGCTTCTGTCCAACATTTTTACGAATGAAACAGAATGACACGTGAGGTTTGTGCCATATTGTGCAAGAATAATTATGCTTCAGACATCGCTAAAGCGAATCAACTTCGAGGGCAAGAAAATTGAATTGAAGTGCATCTGCAAATGTCCCTGTAAAATGTAATGGTGCTACCATGTCCGACTTCTATACCACAGCCAGCCTTTCCTTGCCAAAGGTTGCCACCTCTCTCCAACCAATATGATTTGATAAGTTTATTGGAGAAATATGGGTGATGTTTAGGGTAAGATTTGAGGGTCAAAAAACGGCACCAGTATGCAAGAATACCTCCCTTGAAGGCCGAAAAGCCCGGTGAATCGGGACTTGAATCATCTTCCCCTACTAGCAATGTTATCAGTCTAGCAGTTCGGTCCAGCACAGTGACATGATCATGGTCTGGGTCTTTAGCTTCTGCTCATCTCTCTCTGCACTTTCATCGCAAACTTCATCGAAATGTCTCTGCTGGCTGCTGGAAATCGCATGAAGTGAGACGTGCCAAAAGCGTCAGGCTTGTAGGGACCCGGAGCAGCACTCCGGAGATACAACACGGGTGGGCAACAGGAAAAGACTCCGAACAAATGCATCTCCCGCATGTCTAAAGTCTAAATCTGAAGGAAATGGAGATGTCCATAGCATCCGGCAAGTTGGATGATTCCCGTCTAGAGGCTGCTGGTTGACAGGTCTGGACTATTGTGTCATATTGCGGGGATCCCTATTGAGCAATCAGTGGAACCAATCCACACGAGGTTTGAGAAGCTGCTCATGCAACCTCAAATTCAAATGCACGCAGCTGTATACACACATTAATCATTATAAACACATTGGACATGTATAAGTATATATAATTATATACATGCGTGTGCAGATCACACACAGAGTTCCCAACTTGTATCCACCATGACTGCTTTTCATGATGCCCCAGCCATCTGAACCCAGGAGAGTCAGACGTGAAACACACGTGGCTGCTGAGACTTGTATGGCATGTGTAGTTCATGAATCACTACTGAGTGAGACCAGAGTCCAAGTCTGGAGCTTGCAGAATCTTGGGGCGGCATCAATGGAATTCCTTTCTGTTCCGCCTCTATACAGTGTCTTATGATATCTTATGCAACATCAACAGCTCCCCTGATGTCAAAATCATTGAAAATCCCTTTGATCTTGAACAATCTGAACAAAAATATCGGGACACTATGGCAAACTGGTCCTGGGATGCTATAGGACTCCATCGCTCCATGTTCCCAGTCCCGCCACTTATCAATCCACTCATCCCAAGGGACGCTCCATTCGACGCGCAAAATGAGACAAATGCCCAGTGGTTTTGACGGATTTCAGACATTTTCAGTCCATCTCCGGAAAAACGTCCGCCAGATTCAGCCAGCAATGAATCCAATAATTGAAGTTGAATTCCGGCTGTAGCAAATGGTAGCATATTGTAGCACAGTGATGTTAAGTCTGTCAAGTCATAGTAGTCATCGTAAGTGACTTTAAGACAACAGTGACAACAGTCATACGATGTCATACGAGTATCATCCCTGAACTACTTGACGCATCCGGGCTGAAACCACCGCAGTGCGAGACACCACAGGTGACCTCGTGAAAATGGCGACCAACGACGCCGCGATTCGCTGACCAAACTGCCAAAGTTCCTCTGCAAATCATCTGAACATATCTGAAGCTTTGTTGCCTTATGTTGCCTTTTGCCTGCGATTGAATCCAATTTCCATTGATGCTCCTGGCATCTCCTGGCTTTAAAAGTTTGGTCTCGCTTGGCTCTTATCGCCAGGAAGTGCAACACACACGTCCACTGAACGCGCAACCGGTCTCTCGCTGCTTGCTCCGAATCTTGTTCTCCAGTTCATTGGGTGTTCCTATCAGATCTGCCATGTGAGGATCAAGCAACGGCTTACTGCACCGCACAGATTGTTGTCTTCTTCTTCGGAGGCTCCAGGTCCTTGTCCACCACAACGCCTGAAAATGCTCTGCGAAGCCCACCTGTATCTCTCTCTATAATTACATTCTAATAAAACTTACGCAAGCCCGCTCGCTCATCTAAAGCCTGGAGATTTGTACAGCATACAAAAAAAAAGTGCTAAATACACACAGACACATCTGTAGACAGTAGACATATTAAATATACACATATTTACAAACATGTATATATATATGTGTATTATATATTCATATATTACATCATAAATATAATATTATATTATATTATATGCATAATCTTGCATTGTGTATAAAATATCATATTCAATAGTATATCATATTATTTATATATATATTGTGGGTGTGATTTGCACATTATTTTACATGTACTGCACGTGCGGATAATTCATATTGAGTCATGTGTAATATACAATTATAACATATTATAACTGATTACGTATATATATATATGATACTTCAGTTCATGCATTTCCTCTAGCCTCATGTACAGTCCCTGCCGCAAAACGCAAATAACATTTATGCCCGAATCATCCATGTGAGAATGAGCAACCCCTGATGTTTATCTCTCCCGCTCGATTTCTTATGGTTTCTTGAGTTTGTGTGTAGGGGCGTGATTGGATGCCGGCCAGGAAAACTCTGCCATTACCTCTTCGCTGGCTCAGAATCAACATGGACGCTACAGCAAAACCTGTCCATCTTCAGAATGTGACATGATTGAAGAGATTGCTGATGCAATGAAGTGAAGAGCCCGTTTTGAAAAGGTTTTGTGACCGGTCTCGGGGTTCGCTGCATGTCCCGGGCCCCAGCTGAAGGCCTTCGGACAGATCCTTTCGGATGTGCGGCTCACCCTGACAAGACCAGCAACACGGCCATGGGTCAGCTCAAACACCCATGACGTAGATCTATCACGGGTCACCCACAAAATAGATACCAATCCTGACATGATGTTCATCCCCAGAAAGACTTGTCAGCCTTTTTTCGACCCTTTGGCCCATCTTTAGACCAGGTTTCTTTCTTGTTGGACATTCTTTCAATTTGTTTCCAATTTTATGTAGCTATATGATGCTTTATGAAGCTATATATATATATATATATATCAACTTTTGTGTAGCTAGCTATCGAATTTCCCCGACGTTTTATCGACGTAAATCGCTCCGCAGTCTGCGCTGCCCTATTTTGGCCTTGCAGAGCAGCTCAAAGGCCAGCAAGGCGCGCGCCAGCTCCAGGTCATCTGACGATCCCGTTGGATTCCAACCCCAAAACCATCCAGCGTTGGATCCATCGTTTGGATATGGATGGTTGGTTCCATCATTTTCCCATCCTGGTTGGTTTATTGCATTACTCATCTTTACTAACATTAGAATTATAATATATGAAAATGAAATGAAAATGATGGAAAATGCCTGTATGTCGGTATGTAGATATGTAGGCAGGACTAGGCAGGTATTTGTATGCATCTATTTATCCGTGTGTGTGTGTGTGTGTGTGTGTTTGTGTGCGCGGTACAATCCTGAATAATCCTGACAATGGTGTATGATCGCTATGGTTATAATTACGGATTATATATGTGGCATGCGGGGTTCATGATTGGGGATTTGACATACCACTACATAATTACACATACTTCTGTTGTCATAGTTTAATGGAAACCCGCTTTATCAGTGGGGTTTAGCATTGGGTGTGCCACTATATAAAATGTTCATACGATGTTGTAGCTGACATTGTAGCCCACTATATCCATCATACAGCTCCATATCATGCGGTAAACCCAATGATAAGGAACCTCCACAGCTTACCAAATGAGGTACGGCACGAGATTTTAAACCATGATTTTCAACCACAATAAGATGGCCAGGTAGAATGATGGGATGCTCAACCAAGTCCAATACGTTTCACGTTCCACCATCAGATTGGCTACCCATTCACTCCCTCCTATGGAAGAAAGGATTTGCACCTACCAAACGGGGAGTGACCATCCATAAAAATTATGTACACCATGTGATATTATTGTGGGATCAATTGTGGGTTTGCAACTTAGAATTGTTCATAGAGTCATAGAGTGAAGTGATATCTTGTTGGCGGTTTGAAAGGGGGACATTCCCCAAGGCGTAATTAAGATTGACTTTTAAAATGGAAATTACCCTTGGACCCTTAAAGGGAGGATCGGCAAAGTGAACAGTGGTTAATGATAAGAATTTAAGAAATAAAAATTTAATCACAAAGTGAACAGTGGTTAATCCCATTTTAAAGATTCTCTGGAAGAAAATGTAGAACGGTCTCCAATGCACACCCTGGGTTTTGAAATCAAACATGCATACCTAGCGGTAACGGCGGGAAAAAATGCCTCCTAACCATGTCTAGGAATCAATCTGACCCCCCAAATCATCACGCCGATCCACAGAAATCATCACGCCGATCCACAGAAAAACCGAAATCCGCTGCGACCCTCTTAACCCTGATTCCCAAATTGATGGGGTCTCCTTATTGTCATGCTGTCAAATACGGATTGGAAAAAAAGAAACCCGATCAGGTGGTAAACCCACTAAGAAACTATCCCCAAGTCATCAACATGTGTATGGATGTGTTTTTTTCACCATCCCCAAGTTTGGTGTCTTTATGGCAGGGTTTCCCACTCCTTGGTGATTCCTCCTTGGTGCCCCCCACTCAAGAGGCCGTTGCCGCTGAGGTCGGACTCACGCATGACCCACTCCGTCACCTCTCGTTTCACGGGGCCCTTGTGGGTCGCTTCCAGGAGATCCTGGCGACATCTGAGGAAATCATCCGGTCGATAGATCGATAGATCGATAGATTTAGATAGATATAGATAGATATAGATAGATAGAGATAGATATAGATAGATAGAGATAGATATAGATAGATATAGACAGATATAGATAGATATAGATAGATATAGATAGATATAGATAGATATAGATAGATATAGGTAGATATAGATAGATATAGATAGATATAGATAGATTTAGATAGATATAGATAGATATAGATAGATATAGATAGATATAGATAGATATATAGATAGATGTAGATAGATATAGATAGATATAGATAGAGATATATATAGATAGATATAGATAGAGATAGATAGAGATAGATAGAGATAGATATAGATAGATAGAGATAGATATAGATAGATATAGATAGATATAGATAGAGATAGATAGAGATAGATATAGATAGATATAGATAGATATAGATAGATATAGATAGAGATAGATAGAGATATAGATAGAGATAGATAGATATAGATAGATATAGATAGAGATAGACATAGATAGAGATAGATAGAGATAGATAGAGATAGATATAGATAGATATAGATAGATATAGATAGAGATAGATAGAGATAGATAGAGATAGATAGAGATAGATATAGATAGATATAGATAGATAAGATAAGATCAGAGAAACGCACCTGATTCCTGAATCCAGTATAAATAAGATATATCGCGACAGGCGCGTTCAATGCAAGTTGAAATCACAAATGGACAAATGCAAGTGCAGTTGGATGCAAACACAATGCAGAATCAAGGCAACAAAGCAATGCAGTTGGAAGCGAACACGCAATGAAACCTTTTTGTCCGAGTGTTTTCTTGAGCCAAACAGCATGTTCAGCAAAGTTCAGCAAGGCTACAAACTATGCGAGTTTGAACTCATGTTCTTCTGAACTAGTTAAGCCTATTGCCGGAAGACAAGTAACTGATACAAGTCTACAATTGCAAATGACATCAAGGGTGCTAGAGGAAAGCTCACATGAGAAATATACACTGTACCATGCGAGTATTTTCAACTCCCCCCTTGAGGTTTTCTATACACCAAAACAGTTATTCACGTCTTGGCTGTGCCCTCATGTCATCATCACAGATCAGAGTGCCATACAAGAAGTCAACCTTCGGCTGGTTTAGAGTAAGGGGCTTGCCGTAACGGCTTCCTCCGCTGTTTCTTCTTGTAGCCGATCTTATGCTCAGCAGGTCCCGCGCCAGTTTGAGGTGGTGCTAGAGTCATGTCTTGACTAATCTTGAGCCCTGCTTGAGAGGTTTTGATGATGTTGTACTCCTCATGAATGCCGAGCATGTTCAGGGCTGGTTGCCAAAGAGGGCCAGACAAGGCCTTTGTGAATATGTCTGCACGTTGATACTTGGTACCTACCAACATGAGCTCTGTATCTTCTCTGTCTAATTGCTCCTTGACCGATGCTAGGTTGATGCGATGCACCCTCTTCAAATGCCTAAGCTTCTTAGAATATCCAGCTGCACATACTTTTGCGCAGGCTTCGTTGTCTTCTCTGATTCTCAGTAAGACATTCCGCTTCAAGAGCGTGCTGAAAAGCTCTGCCAGGGGTATCGCCTCATCAAACAAAATGTTTGCCAAAGCCACGGTCTCGCTCTCAGTGGTGCTTCTAGACACCGCTGTCTGTTTCTTGCTTACCCAGCACAAAGGAAACGACGTGTCCTTTCCGGACAGTTGGATCCATGCACCTGAGGTACTGTAGCAATCCTCTGTACTTCCACATAGGTCTGCATCAACAAAATACTCTAGGAAAACTTCATCCATTCCATCACCAACATAACCGGTCAACATGTGATTCTTGGTACTATCTATGTAGCAGATGGCTCGGAACAACGCTACGTCACAACCAGCACACCACTTCTGGATCTTGGTCGCAAGCCAAGTGGTCACTCTCAGAAGATCTGGCCTTGCAAGCCTGGCCAACCACATCATCTTCATAAGGATGCTGGAGGCCTTGTCTGCCAATTCCCCACGGGAATCATCTTCCTCAATGTCCCCATTGGCGAAGAAAGGAGTGTTGACCTTCTTCAGCTGTTTTCCTTCAGTGATTCTGAGGTAGTCAGTGACGATATCTTGAGCATATGCTCTCATGTCAAATGCGAACAGTTCCTTGCCCTCACGCTCAATTGTTGTGTGATGACGGCCAAGAAAACGACCAAGATCCCCAATGTCATCAATGAGGACCCTCTTGCCAAGATCCTGCCAAAATGTGTCATGCATGGTGGCATCTCCAGCAAGCACAAAGTCATCAACGTATACAATGAGCGCCAAGTTGTTGTATGATGGGAAGACATATGTCGACGCAAACTCATCAATTGGAACTCCACCCATGGCAACAAGCTCCTTGTTGAGGTGTTTCTCCCAATGGGAGCCGGCCTCTGGATGGCCGTAAAGCGATTTGTGTAACCGCACTACCGGTCGGCGGTAGCGTGGCTCTCCACTGGGCCAAAACCAGTCGTCAGGCCAAACCTCTCTAGGCAATCTGACCCAAGTTGCACACAGTGACTTCAGTTCCGATTGTAAATACGCTTTTACAGCGTCTGCTGTGCTCACCTTGCATCCGCTCATCAAACCAAAACAGATTATGGCATTGGCGGCCACAATTGATGCTGGCGATGCCGAAAGCGTCTGGTACAAGGCGATGTTTCCACTCTCTGTCTTCGCTGCATCTCCTCGGTAACACACTCTGCCTTTCAATTGTCTGAAGGCTGGCTCCAATTCGACGTGCTTCTCGGAGCATATTGCTAAGAGGTCAGCGAGATGGATTGTTTCATGGTTCTCGATGGCCCGTTTCTTGACGTTGTGTTCCTCATCCACGGAGGCCCAATCCCAGGTTCCCATACTGGCCACACCATCGAATTCTTTTCGTATGGCCTTCAGAGCGTCTGGTCGTGCTATGACTTCAGCACGTGGAAGTTGGCGGGTCACTGCCGCCGGGAACACTTCATCTGCAGGCTCTTCTGGCGGACATTCCGGAACAATGTCATCGTCAAGAGGGTCACAAGCATGTCCACTTGATGATGCACGCTCACCGGCCGGAGTTGGTGGAAGTGCTGCTGGTGTTGGTGGTGCAACTGACGGTGTCGGGGGTACTCCACTACGAAGTCCATAGATTCCGTCAAACCTCGCACGGCATTCTGCTGTGTGTCGCGAATGTCCATTTTCACAATCTGAACATCCAACAGTTACTCCATGCTTTTCAAGACGTTGAGATGTGATGTAAGCATGTCCTGGTGGAGGCGGCCTGTCTTCAATGGGAAATGCATCTATGCAGATATCATATGGAAGAACACCTTCAACAAACGACTTGTCATATTCATCACGTTTCAACACCATCTCAACATCAGTCATATCAAGAAGTGCAGTGCGCGCAGCACGCGCGAGCGGAAACTCAACATGTTCAATTGGTGGCAAGAACGTCTCACGCTGGTGAACAACCTTGGGAATCCAATGTAAGTGAGCTCGTGTCCTGGTTGACTCATAGTCAACAATGAGAAGGTTTCCACGGAATCTGAGCCCAGGCGCCAAATGCCATCCTGCAAACAGTCCCGGTTTTGTTGTTGGCTCACCGAGGTCTCCTTTCGCACGATAGTACACAAGAGCCCCAAGCGGATATCGAGGTCCTCCAAACTCACTCCCTGTGGCAACATGCCATCTGGTCTTTCCAATCTTGTTCTCCTCCGCCTCAGTGCCTTTTTCATGGTTGGCAATCGGAGCAGGTGAGAAAAACGATCTTGCTTTTGAAACATAATCAATTGTCAAAGTCCAGAGCCTTTTGTGAAAACCAGCTTGGATGTGTGACGGCCTGCTCAACTCCTTAAGCGTCCTCACTTCTCGCTCAAGGTGTGCATTGTGTGGCCAATAGTTTGGCGCACTTGGATCCAAAACCCAACATAGACGTGATGCTGCATTTGTCAACTCTTGGGCTGTGTCCGAACAAAATACAGTATCAGTGCGTCCGCTAAGCGGGTACCCAGCAAAATGTTTCAATGACTCATAGTTGGACTCCTCGTCTCTGCTGGTTTGTGGGTACGCAAGGCAAATTCCAGAGTATCTATCCCTGACAACAAGTGCACAAAGTTCTCCTCCCAAGCCTCTGGATTCCACAGCTGGAAAGATGTTGTCTGCCTCGATGATGCTGCCAAATTCCTTAGCTCGCTCATAGGGCATCTCACTGTCCTCTGGATCAGCACGGAACCTATGGGCATATCTTCTGAGCATCCTTCCACGACAACAATGTTCACAAAACGGATTTTTGCGGTCATGGAGTGTCATGTGTTCCAAACTCTGTGCTTCACGCTTCAGCCGTTCATCTCGTGATTCTCTCACTCTGTCGTCCTCGTCATCTGCTGGTGCTTCCCCATCAGACATATCAGCGGGACATGCAAAAGAATCCACAGACTGAAAAATGGTTGGAGTTGGAACTGGCTCTTCCTCAGGTTCTCGTTCTCTGTGTTCTTGGTGATTGCTAGGAAAGACTACTGGTATAGCTGGGCAATGTTTGGATATGATGTCAGGGTATAACGAGTACACGATGTATTCACACATGATCCTCGGGTAAAACCCAGTTTGATTTGTCTTGGAACCTTCAATGATGGAGTGTTTGAAGCCGGAGTCATGTTGGCATCTGAGCTTGGAGAAAACTCGAGCTGTTCTGCCACATGTTGTAGCAACACGCCAACGCTTGAGATGCGGTTGGCCATCACCATCCACAACTCCCACTCTGCATCCATCGAAGTCGACGATCATCATGTCCAGTTGCTGTAACATATGCTTCACCTCATTTGTTGCCCAGCCAACGCAATGCCGTGGCCACTCATATGAAACTCTGCCCCCATGCTTCACCACGACCTTGGCTAAACGGAGAAACTTTCGGATCATCAATCTAGACCTCATTCTTTGAACATCCAGTCTTTTGGCATATTCATCTCCTTGACGATTCAAGCACAT